CCCCCCCGGGGTGAAAAACAAGGCCCTCCCGGAGAATCAGCTCCGGTGTGACCAGCCCCTGTGTGTCCCTGGAGAACTAGGGACTGTGTTTTGTGTCCACACCCTGGAGTGAAACTCCCCAGGTGCCTTTCCCGAGCCTGTTCACACCCTGATGCCCCTCTGCCCACACAGCTCTCCCTCTTTCCTCCCTCCCACCCGCCTCCTCTTGTCTCTGGCTGTGCAAACGGGCTTGGGAACATCTTTAAAATTAAAAGAAACTCTCTCGTGTGAGGGGGGTTGCAGTTCTTTTCTCTGTGTTCCTCTCTCTGCCACACACTTGCTGGTAACTCCTCAAGATGGTGTCGGGTTGGGCAAAGAGAACTATTAAATTATATATATAAATAATTATATATTAAATTTATCTCTTAGAAGTTTATAGATAAAGTTATGTTGCTTTGTCATCACATAATTTCCTTTTTCATAAATCATTTTTACAGTATTAGCTTTGTTACCACTGATGTTTGAGTTTAAGGTAGATTTCATACTAATAAGTGATGCATTTACTGTACAGGGACCTTGATATTAACTGCTTAAAAGAAAATCAGTGTAACTGCTGACAGTCAATAACTGTTTTAACCATAGAAGACCAAATTCTGAGCCCAAGCCAATGATTCTACTCACAATTACAGCTTTTAACAAATATCATCACAATTACAGAATGAACAACCTTTTTATGCTTGCCCTCATGTTTTCCAAATGCAGGACTGGTGTGTGCAAACACAGAATGAATTCTACAGGCAAGAAGTGTATTTCAGTTCCTTCTCCACACGTTTGCAACACGAGTAAAAAACATGTTGGCCAAAGAGCACTCGTGCAACCAGATTTCCAGCCTGCCAACTGGAAAAGGCCACCTGCAAGCAGAGGGGGCTTTGCCTCAAGTCAAGAGTCTGATTCTGAAAGCCTTGTTCAGGAGAGACAGTATCAGTTAGAGCTCCAGCAGTGGATCCATGAAAATGAAGAGTTGATAGGATTGTATTCTGATGAGCTGGAGAAGGACAGCTTAGAAGAAGATAGCTTGGAGGAGATGAGTTTAGAAGAGCAAGAAGGAGCTGAGTGTGACATAAATCCATGTACAAATGGAATACAAAAGGATGATGGTAATGGAAGGTAAGGCACAGGATTTTAGTAGATTGGTAGAATAGTTGTGAGAGGACAAGGGGGAATGGATGAAAACTGGAGGAGGGGAGATTGAGGTGAGACATGAGGAGGAAATTCTGGAGTGTGAGGGTGGTGAGAGCCTGGCCCAGGTTGCCCAGGGAAGCTGTGGCTGCCCCATCCCTGGCAGTGTTGAAGGGCAGGTTGGATGGGGCTTGGAGCAGCCTGGGCTGGTGGGAGGTGTCCCTGCCCATGCAGGGAGGTGGATCTGGATGATCTTGAAGGTTCTTTCCAACCCAAACAACTGTATGATTCTATGAAATAGGACACATTTCTCCATGTGTGGCCCTGAAGAACAGCAACATGCAAGGGTGTGCACGGCCCTTTGAAGCAATGTGACCACAGGATGTTTTCTGGTTCTCAAACTCAACTGTAGCTTCACTTTTTTTTTTTTTTTTGTTATGATCAATACAGGTGGAAATACACTAATATAATTGCTAAAACGTCACAGTTTCCCACTGCAGCTAGTTAGATCTACATGATCTTTAAGGTCCCTTCCATTCTATGATTCTAAAACCTTAAGCTCCTCAGAATATACATCACAAATTCAAGACCAGTTTATCTTGCTACAGTGCTATTAAGAGCACCTAAGGACTTGGTTACACACAAAGATATACTGTTTCATCTTACCCACCTTCATAATTATTATGCCCATTTCTTCAGGATAAGCTTAACTGTTCTGGCTGCCCCACCAGTGCTGGAGGGTAAGAAGGACAAAACCCCATCCCTCACAAACCATAGACTCCCCCTGTACTCCTCCAGGCACTGCATAGAATCCTGAAATGGTTTGGGTTAGAAGGGACCTTCAAGATCATCCAGATCCACCCCCTGCATGGGCAGGGACACCTCCCACCAGCCCAGGCTGCTCCAAGCCCCATCCAACCTGCCCTTCAACACTGCCAGGGATGGGGCAGCCACAGCTTCCCTGCGCAACCTGGGCCAGGCTCTCACCACCCTCCCACTCCACAATTTCCTTGATGACATGATTCCCAGCAGCTACATCTACTCAATCCAGAACTGCAGTCAGTAGAAGGAGTTCCATGACTGTTAACAGGCACTGTTCCAAGCATTACAACATTTAACAGCATTTACCAGCTCCCATTTCAACCAGGCAACCAATGCCCTGCAACTGAGGCCTGAGACCACAGGCTGGAGGGTTTTCTGGAGCTGTGCAGTGAAAAAAGAGCAGGGAAAAAAAAAAGACCAGTACCAACACATCCTCTTTTTGTTCCTTACAGAAGGAGCTGTGCTGAGCAGCAAGGCCTCTACCTGTAAGAAAACTTGCAGGCAAAAACTGCTGGCTTGAAGAAATGCATGTTTGTCCTTATAGCTGTATAAATCTAAAATTAAAATTTCCAGGGCTACCAGCACCTTTGAGCATTCTATAGAAAGCATCTAACTTGGTACAGAAAATAAAATGTAATTTGCTGTCATGTGCATGAAAGGTTTAACACCCAGTAAATTGGGAATAATTCTCAAGCTTAAAGGGATTAATTTAAACCTGAAGTAATAATAATGTGCAGTTTCATTTTAATTGTCTACTTAAAATAAAATGGCAAACAAATGAAGGCTAAATGATTAATAGCATGCTTTTATTCACCTCCTCAACAGGCAAAATGGCCAGTTATTGAATATTTCACTGTGAGTGCAAATGATGTTAATTGTCCTAGAAACATGCTCTAATTTTTAGTAATTTTTTTTGACTGAATACTCTGCTGAATGTGAGGCTCTTCATTAAATGGAAATTTGATTTTATTTTGTTTGAACTTAGCCTAGTAAGTACTCAAATCCAGTCCATTAACCAGAGCAAATATCACAGCATCTACATATGAAACCCCCTCTCTACATCCATTACTAACCTCGGAATTTGAAGAGGAAATGCTGCATCTGCTGTCTACATACAGCACTTTTGTTGAGGAGTACAGAGTCCATCTAACCTTTCTATCAAGTTGGGGGCAGGAATAAAAGGTGCACTTTTTGTCTGCAGATGATTAGAGATGAAGGAGCTCTTCACACTCATTTTGTTCCCATGCAGTGACCTGGCCTCCAGAATACAACTGAGCTGCTGTGCACATATTTCAGCACAATAGAACTCTTTAGCATTGTACTCTGTTATTTGAATCATTGCAATTATATCACATAGTTCTGTACTCACTTCAAAATATGGTAACCTTCTCCTGTTTACCTGTGGTGTGTGACAGCTAATAATGTAAAACTAGTATACAGGATGCCTGGGCACCAACACTTAACCTGAAATGAAAAGCATTGCTAGAGAAACAGATTATTTTCTTATTAGGAGCTACTTGAAATATATATATACAGGCATAGGCATCTAATCAATTTACAAAGGATAAATAAATGATTTGTGGAGATGTTACTATAATTAACTATGCCACAGTTTGGAGAATCCAGCAGGTTGATACAATTACATGGGTTTGAAGAGTCAACCAGGTTTTGGGGCCTGTAAATGTCACTCTTTGTCAGTGCCAAGAAACCAGGACTATACTGCAGGTCCAGTTAAGAAAAAAAGAGTATTAAAATCTTTTTTCTCCCACACTCTTTACTCCTGCCACAGCCTGCACATCCCTTGGGAGCCAATTTGTATGGATTGGGCTCCTGCAGTTGTTTTCCTGTTGGACCAAACTGTAAATCATAAACAGAATTCATTATGGGTTTTTTAAGGCAGAACATCTTTCTTTGCTGTGTGACAAATGTAGTTCAAAGCCAGGCTTCAGATGTGTTAAAAAAAGCCAAATCCACAAATATTTCTGATTTTTGGTTTTCTATGCTTATCTCAAAGTAACTTCTCATTAAAAACAGGCTGCAATTCAGTCTTTTATAGAGAGTTTTTTACTGAAACATCAGGATGTTTTATAGGAATGAGAAGAGAGACTAAAAATAGAGAGCTGTAGGCTGCTGTTCCTCAGCCAGTTCTACTGACATGTGAGAGGGGGATTTTACCAGGAATATCACTTTTCCTTCACACAGCAGTCACTGAAGAATGAGCAACACACACACTGTTTTAGGCCACATCATTTTAAAGGAAACAATAGAAGCAGCATGTTATAATCAATTCATATTTTAGTTAATTTTACTATTGCTAAATTTAGGATAAAGACTGTATTCTACTGGGATCTGAATGTTAAGCCAAGGTATCAGTTACTTAATGATGAAAGTTAAAAGTGAAGAGGAGGTTCTGCCTAAATTTTCTACTAAAGAAAAGAACATTTAATAAAACTGTTCTGATCCCAAACCAACAAATAATCATACTGAATGCACTGAAGTAATTCAGTTGACCATATTTGCAGGACATTTGTTGGCTCAAATTGCACACTGAAAAAAAAATAAATACAGAATTTATGCAATTCATGCATAAATAATTTTGTGTTTCTTTTTTTTTAAGTAGGAAGCAACAGGCAGTGAAGAACTATTTCAGTCAAAGATACAAACCCAACTGGAAGAACACAAAAGAGGTAGCAGGAAAAGCGTGTCAAGGTGCTAGGAGAAGCAGTGAGGACTTCTCACAAGATTCATTTTACCTCCATTCCAGTGGTTCCCCAGAAGAAAAGAATCAACAGGAGGCAAAGTCACAAGGTTCCCCCTTAGAGTTTGGTCCAGAAATCTTGATCCTTCATCAGCCAAATGCTGTGGTCAGCAAAGAACCATCCAGGCTACACACCCAAGAGAAGGCACCTGCAGGTGGATGTCATTTCAAAGGTCATCCCAGTGCTTCTTCACTTCAGATTCAACAAAATCAACCCCAAAGAGCCAAAAAAGACTTTGTGGAAAAGAATAAACAGACTTTAGGAATGCAGGCAAAGATAAATTCCTATTTTCAGTTACACAGGAAAAAGCAGGAAGTTCTTCAAGAGGAGGTAGGTAACTTGTACCTGTTTTGTAGTTGGTGCAAGCTGAGGAGTGTCCAGTGCTAAAATGGAATAGCTGCATGAGCAGGTTAGCAGAGGAGATAAACAGAGTGACATTCTATCATGCTACTCATAATTTATTATTTCCTATGGGAATCTTGTTCACCCTTTATGAAGCAACTGACAATTCCTCAGTTCCTCACAACCCCAGTGGTGTTTACAAGCCTGGTTAAGCTGCTTAAATTCTTGGCCACAAAGCCCATCTGCATGCTCAGAGAGGTGACCTCTCACTAGATCTTAATCTTGGGGCAAAAGAAATGCTGTCTTTTTCCTTTGGGATCTACACTGCACCTTGCCAGTAGTTCTTCTTTGCTGCCTTTGATTTTTCTCAGCTTGGCCAACATGAATGTTGCTAATAATTGTCCCTGCTAATAGCACAGTCCCAGTTTTGCTCAATGCAGCAAATGCAAATTGCTTCTAATAACAAAGCACTTACCATTTTTTAGCTGCAGTGGGAAACTGTGACGTTCTAAAAGTTATATTAGTGTATTTCCACCTGCATTGATCATAACAAAAATGGGAACCTACAGTTGAGTTTGAGAAACAGAAAACATCCTGTGGTCACGTTGCTTTCAAGGGCCGTGCTCACTCTTGCATGTTGCTGTTCTTCAGGGCCACATATGGAGGGAGAGCTAAGAAATGTGTCCTATTTCATAGAATCATAAAGTCGTTTGAGTTGGAAGGGACCTTCAAGATCATCCAGATCCAACCCCCTGCATGGGCAGGGACACCTCCCACCAGCCCAGGCTGCTCCAAGCCCCATCCAACCTGCCCTTCAACACTGCCAGGGATGGGGCAGCCACAGCTTCCCTGGGCAACCTGGGCCAGGCTCTCACCACCCTCACACTCCACAATTCCCTCCTCATGTCTCACCTCAATCTCCCTCTTCCAGTTTTCATCCCTTCCCCCTTGTCCTCTCCCTCCCTGCCCTTGTCCCAAGTCCCTCCCCAGCTTTCCTGGAGCCCCTTCAGGCCCTGGAAGGTGCTCTAAGGTCTCCCTGGAGCCTTCTCTTCCCCAGGCTGAACACCCCAACTCTCCCAGCCTGGCTCCAGAGCAGAGCTGCTCCAGCCCAAGGATCATCTCTGTGGCCTCCTCTGTCCTCTCTCCAGGAGCTCCATGTCCTTCTGATGTTGGGGGCTCCAGAACTGGACTCAGTGCTCCAGGTGGTGTCTCATGAAAGCCAAGTAGAGGTGTTCAGACAACCCTTCCCCCTAGTTGCTTTCTCAGCCAGACCAAACCTCATATTTGAAATCACTTGCCAGATACTAGTTCTGTACAGTACTTGCATGTGAAGGGCCTGGCTTTCTTATGATTGCCTGTGAAATGTCAGACAAGCTGTATTAAGGATTAATTAGAAATGTAATTACAGTTCCTAATGAACGATTATATATGAGTTTGTTGCTTTCAGTTGCTCCTTATTACATATAATGGGGAGGGAGGAGGTGGTGAATTGCCCCACAAGCTGTAGCATAGAAAATTCTTAACCTGCAAAACTTCAGAGACATTCTGCTTCAAGTGACACATTTTCCAAGGCTAATTAGCAGTTGACACAACACTAGAGGGCATCTGCTGACTGCACTGCAGGGAGTGGAACTGTGGACAAGCTTTTTTTTCTAGCAGAGCTATTAAGAGCACTTGTTTTTTTTTCGGTTATAATTTGGCTGATGGTAAAAATAATGAATGTAGATTGATGCTAATTAAAGCTGTGTTGATATGATTATGTTTACTGTTTGGGGAGTTCTGAAAATGTTTCATGTGTAAGTATTGGAGGCAGGGATCAGGACTCCATTGTGCAAACACTAGTCAAAGAGAAGTAATTGGGGAAAAAAAGCTGTTAAAAGCAGGGCTGTGTTCTAAAATTGCCATGCTGAGGGAGCCTTGGGGATGCAGAGCTGTGACACAACAGGAGCCAGGCAGCATCTGTGTAGAAAGGTGGGGTTTTTTCCTCAACACCTTGATAGAGCTTCAACAGCATCACCACCTACTGTCACTGCTAGATCTGTGTGTGCTATGAGTAGGCACTGGAAGAAGTATTTACCTGTCTTGTTCTTAACTGAGACATCCATTGGTCCATCTTGGTAGAGCAGGCAAAAGAAAGCATCTTGTTGACCAGAACTGAGCCAGGTCACCTCACCTGGAAAACTGTATCAAAAGTACAAAACCACCAGGTGTGCAGAGAAGCCAACAAGCCACGTGTCTCCTGCTGGAGCAATCAAACACGTTCTGAATCCTGGTTTTTCCTAAACTGTGTTATTTTGAGCTTTACAGGTTGATGAAGCTGTTTTGATTGATGGGGTCACTGTTGGCTGCCAGGTACTGTGCTAGTGAAATAGTGGTTACACTGAAGTACTTTGCCACAGCTTTTTTTCACTGCCATAACAACAGGTACAACATTTGCAGCCCCATTTTTGCAAGCTTTATAGCTGTTATCTCTGTGCACAGAGACAACAGGCCCTATGTACCAAAACATACTATAAATGTGTGTTGATCTGTATATTTACTAATTTATATAGCATTTTATAAAGCATCAAGTTCTTTGCAGTGTTGCCTGATTCTTTAAGAACCTGATGATGAGTTTCTTTGAGAGAGAGAGAGAGAAAAAGAGAGAGAATTAGTGGCCCAATCTAGCTCAGCTGTACTCAATATGAGTTGCTTTCCTACCTACAAGCCCCTTACTTCAAAGCAAGGAACATAATGTACAATTTTTTAATGGCTCTAGACCAAGGCACTCAGACTCTCTGTGCACTGTGCCTTCCCTCAGTGTAAACACCTAATCAAGATTGCCTTTGCTTCAACAATAGCAGCCAAATGCAATTCGAGAACCACAAGCCTTTGAAGTCCTCCCTGCAAAGGCCGGTTTTCTAGTCTGGGATAATGACATGCCATGATTGCTGTCTTTGTTGTATCTTTTCAGTAGAGAAGCAATTATGGGCCTCAATTTAACAGAATAGGCATTACACAGCTTATGATGCTCAAAATGCAATTTCATTTGATCATTTTCTCAATTTGATTGGTATTAATAGAATAGTTCACCAAAAAATGCTGGCAGAGGTTGTGTCCTGTTCCTCTTTCAAAGAGATAATGTAGAAGTATGCTTTACCTGCCTGGTGAACCAGCAATACAGTGAGTCAGGTTCCACCAAAAACATCTTCCAGTCTGCAAAGCTGTAGCCAGCCAAAGCTCAGGAAACCTGAGTGGTAACTTCTAATTTGGGAACTTTTCTAGTCACAACTAGAGGGAATGTTTTTTAGCTGGAAGAGAGGAGATTTTGGTGACACATGAGGAGGGAATTGTGGAGTGTGAGGGTGGTGAGAGCCTGGCCCAGGGTGCCCAGGGAAGCTGTGGCTGCCCCATCCCTGGCAGTGTTGAAGGGCAGGTTGGATGGGGCTTGGAGCAGCCTGGGCTGGTGGGAGGTGTCCCTGCCCATGCAGGGGGTTGGAACTGGATGATCTTGAAGGTCCCTTCCAACCCAAACCATGCCATGATTCTATGATTGAGGCCATATGCACCACAGTACTTAGCAGGATCGTTTGGGACAACACAAGTATAGATACCAAAATTTAAAAAGCATTGCTAATTGTGAAGCTTTATTGACTGGGAAAAAAAAAGTTTGATGCTTTCAGGAAAAATTTCTCATGGTAGCCAAGTTTCTGAGGATCTCTTGGCTTAGAAACCTGTAGTGCCAGCAGCCACCCTCCAAAAATTGCTCAAATGCAATTTCCAGCCATCACATGGCCATGTGGAGATGTTGTTCTTGTTTCTGAGCTGCTGTTTTGTACAAGTTGTTTGATATTGCTGCCAGGTTGTGTGGCTTATTTTTCTATTTCTGTGGCTACTCCGTGTACTTTTCTGCCAACATTACTCTCTTTTGCCTTCTTTTTCCAACTCTATTGTTCAAGACCTTGCTATGGTGTGTGTCACCCCTCAGTACCTGATTGCCTGGACAATGACTGTCTAGTTGCTTTTCTGTTATTAGTTACATCCACTGGCTCTCATACAAATGAAGAAGCTCAGGCATTTGAGAGTTACAAGTAGGTTTCTGTGCTGCATCCTTCCTGCAATTTTCTTTTCCTCTCTTCTTAAAAGTAGAAGGAATACTTCCTACTACCTTGCTTCCTTTTTCATTTTGCCTGTTAATTTTCTTCTTACCTATTATATGATGCCTAACTTTAGCTTTTGAGCTTTAACAGGAGGCAAATTATTTCTCATTCTTTCCCCAAGACATTTAAATCATAGAATCACAGACTGGTTTCTGTTGGAAGGCACCTTAAAGATCATCAAAGTCCCCTGCATGGGCAGGGACAGACCAAGTTGCTCAGAGCCCCATCCAGCCTGCCCAAATCTTTTCATCTTGTTGGGATGTGACCATAACCATTTTTGGTTCTTAGGCTACAGATCCTCAAACTGTTGATGAGGAACCAGTTCAGAGTGGCCAACTATCCCAGACTGAGAAAATGAAGCCTGAAGACAAATGGGACCTCAAAGCACAGCAGCTCAAGGTTCCTTTTCAATAGAACATGATAATTGAAATATATCTGTAAAACCATCGAAGTTCAAATATATAAAGCTTCAATCTCATTACTTTTGAAGTACCAATTACTGACAAAAAATCCTTAGATACATATCAGTAGATAATAACAATAATTTAATGGATATATTGCTTTATATACTGAATTATTTTAAATCAGATTAGGTCCCAAATCCCAAGAACTCCTGAGCTCAAAGAATCCTATCTGTTTAGAACATGATTTGGCTGATAAGAATGCAAAAGCACAAGAGAGTCATAGAATCATCATAGAATGGTTAAGGTTGGAAGGGAGCTTAAAGATCATCAGGTTCCAACCTCCCTCCTACAAGGGTCACGTCAGATGGTTCGTGAGGATTCTGAGCTTGAATTGTCCCCTAGAATCCCCATGAACATCAGGGGTTTGCCACAAAACAGAAAATGCAGCAAATTTGCACTGCCCTCCTCCATGCACATGAGTCTATAGGTCTGGTTTATGCTGGCCTTTCAAACCAGTGCACTGGGATAGTCTTTGGAGCAATAAAAGAAACTGATGAAGAACCAAGAACTGCAGAACCAGCACTTCAAGCCAACTGGAATTATTATTTGCACATCTAATTACTCCCTTTGTATTACAAGTATTTGAAGTAATTCAGTCAAACTGTTTAAATTCCCTGCAGGTCACTTCTGTAAAGGACAAACAAGATTTTATGCTGCTGTTCATTGTGAGAAGTGTGCTTTATATATGGAATTGCAGAATGAAAGAGGTGTTTTTCAGGGCTTCCATATAGATGGGAAAGCATTGGCCTGCTCCCAGTTTGGCAACAGTTCATGCTTTCCACCAGTATGCCAGAACATTCATCATTGCAGCAGAGGTCAAGCTAACAAATCATCAGCTTGGCACCAGGAGTCAGGATTCCCCAGTGCTAAAGCCTTGGCCAAAACATTCAACTCTATATGTGGATTTAATACCTACCATTAAGTAGTTATTCTGAGTGCATGTGCTATGTAGTGATTGCAAGTATTGCTAACAAAAGAACCCTGGAGAGACAGGAGGATGAAATGGAGGATTTTAGAGCTGACAAAGATTAAATGGACTGAGAGTGGATTTGTATGTTCCCTATGATTTCTATATCCCCTTTCCTCAAAATGGGCAACATCTGATGCTGTAATTGGGAAGTGATAAATAAACTTCAGAGCTAGAGTATGTTTAGCTCAAGACAATAGTCCTGGTGTGCTTAAATTCTTAAATTGTTCCTTAGCCTTTGGATCATGTTTTGCAGGATACAGGGTAGGGAGGACTGCTTGGTTTAGAAATCATTGACATCAGTCAAAATTCACCCCACTTTTGATAACTTGTTTTAGGATCACCAGAAAAAGTTCTCCCAGAGAAATCAAACAAAATGCACCCAGAGCCTCAAAGGGAGAGCTTTCCCAAGGAATGATATCCAGCAACCACTGGGGACACCAGCAGAACCAAAGTCCAGCCACCACAGGCACCACCAAGCAGCAGAATTTCCCACTGCTCCCATGCAGGCTGTGGAGCAAGACAGCAGCAGCACACTCCAGAAGCAGCTGGATTCAAGTCCTTCTGTTGGCCCTGCCACTAACACAGCAGCAAATCCACAAACTTGCCTCACTCATTTCCCAAGATCAAGGCATTTTGTTAATCAGGATTTTCCTGCCTATCCTCTTCACCCAACATTACAGAAGTTTCACCCAGCAGAGGCTGAATCTCCAGCATACACCAGCAAGGAGAGCAAGAAATACCAGCATGATTCTCCAAATGGATTTCCACATCACCAGCAACATCTACACAACCATGTCCCTCTGCAGCTTTTCCCAAGAGATAACAGTACCAATGGTCAAGCACATCCAAACCAGAGGAATATTTCATCTACTTTTAATGCCAATCTTCAAGAATTGGTGAAGGATCAGGTATCCCTTCAGGATTGCAAAAGACACATTTATGTGGATACAGAGTACCAGAACTATGCTGTCAGTAGTTTATGGTAAGGATACAGATGTTAATATTATTATAACACTGTGATGCCCAGGAAAAATAGAAATGGACAAGAAAATGTTTTAAAGTCTAAAGTATAAAATAATTTTGCTACAAACATGCCACTGTAGATTACTAGTAACTTAAGATTCACTGTAAATACTTATTTTTAAATATGGTTTCAGTTCTATACTCTGGGCAATCTTGCACATAGAATTTTCCACAATTGAAAGCTTCCTCCTGAGAAGCTAGAAAGTGAAGTTTAAAAGCCAGACAGCAAAGAGCACTGGGCATAGCCTAAGCCTGTTGCTGGCTGCCTAGAGTTGTAGGCTGGAGTTCTATCAAAACTTGCCTTCCAGGGGGAAGATCCAGAGTCATTCCCATACCAGTTATGGGTCACTACACATGGGGAAGGGCATGGGAGTCCTGAGTCATGCAGAATTTCACCTGTTTTGATAAAAATGAAAGTTTTCTTGTACATAGACAATTATTTCAGTACTCAGCAGGCTGGATCCAAAGCCATGTAGGTTTTACTGGCTGAAGGTAGCTTTGCATCAGGCTGCAGGTTTCCCCATTGTCATTTTTCCATTAATTTGAAACAGTTTCCATACACTTGGGTGCAAGCCAAGTCATTGGGAAACCCCATCTTTCCATCTTCATGTTCCCAGTGTGTTGTGTGAGCAAGGATCATTGCTTGTTGAGCTACCTGCTAGAAACAAATAGAGATTCTTATTTTTCCCCCCTCTTTCTTCTTAATCTTCTGCTCACAGGTCACCAACAGCCCGTTATACAACCTCCCAATTTCCACAAACGATGGGGCAACACCACCAAGAAATCCCTCTTTTGCCAGAGGCTCACTTAGCTGACAGGCATTTGTTCAGCCTCCTTCCACCTGTAATTCCACAAGGAGAAAGTGCTTCAGGGTTAGATCCAAGAAAGGGTGAAGGAAATCAACTGAAAATAAGCCAAGGCAACTCAGAAGGATGTCTGATCCAGATGGAAAGGCAAAAGCAGCCTAAAGTCAGCAAGAAGGTAAGCAAATAGATGTGGATTGAATGGTTCTACATTTCTGATTCCCCTGCTGATTAACAGATTATTTTCTTAATAATCCAAAGGTGGATAAAACAAGGAATGGGGACTGAGAAATATTTCCTTGCTACAGAGATTGACACACACTGACTTTCCCAGAGCATTAAACATGAAGGGACAAAGGTGGAAACAGACACTAAAATCATGTTATTCTAAACAGCAAGGCTGTTCAGCACCAACCACTCCCTCTGTCTGTTCCAGTCTTGATTAGCTCTAAGAACAAACAGAGCAGTGTTTGTCCTTGAAGTTATACAGTGATAAAATGATTGAGAATAAAGCTGTTGGTATAAAGCAGCAGGTAGTCAGGCCTCAGATCTGAGCAAACCATTCTCCTAGTCATGCCCATTTGCTGTCCAGCTCAGATCTCTTGGTTTCCAAGGGAATCAAACTGAACCACCATAAACTTAAAGGATTTGTAAAGCTAACAACATAAACATTATTACAAGTCTCCTGATGATCCCATTTTGGTCCTTATTAAAACCTGATTCTCTTTGTCTTTTCTGTGTCCAGTTTCACACTGTAACCAGTTAATAGGGATGCAGTGGAGCAGCAGAGGGAAATCCCTGAGTATCCATGGCAAATTAATTGTTTAAGAAGTTAGCTCCAAGTCTCAGGGCAGACAAACTAAACTGGAATGATTACTCATGTGTTTCATCTAGGAGGCAGTTTGTGCTTTGCTGCTTGAATGCCTCTAAGAAGAATTAGCTGGATTATGATAGTAACTGAAGGGCAAATTTCCTTCCCTTTCTGTTCCCCTGACTTCAGTGTTACTGTCCTGTATTCTCATTAGCTTTCTCCTGCTTCAGAAGTGAGGAATAACACAGGGAATAATATTAGAATCATAAGATTGTGTCTCGTGGAAGAATCCAGGTTTTCCTAATGAACAAACACAGTCACACTCAGCACAGGAGGTGAGAAAACCCTGGTTGTGTTGTAAACAGCTAACGAATCATGCACAGTCCCTTCAGTTGGAAGTTATATGTAAATATATCAGAAAAGAATAGGATTAACTGACACAAACAACACATTTGAAACATCAAATAGAAGATTCAGTGCATGGAATTATTTTCTCTGCAGTTGAGTTTAGCTTGAATGTGCCCTTTAAAGAAATTCCCATTTCATTTGGATGTAGAAATTCCTTGGTGTTTCTGCATTACTCTTTGATTGAAATTGCTCCAGAGCTGATCCTAATGAGTTTCCACTGACAAGTTTTTAAAACACAGTCCTCTTCTAAAAATTAATCTAATGTTCTTGAAAGAGATTTAAAAGATTCTGGAAGTGCTGGGGTCTTTGTAAGTAATGTCATGAAGTACTGAAATGGCATCACTAAATCTACTTCTAAAGCTTCTGCTGTGCTGCAAGGCAATTCTTTTTCATGTCTCTGAGCAATTTTTCATTGCAGTTTTGAGAATTAAAAAAGATTACTATTACTAATAATATTTGCCTGGTTTTCTTACCACCATAAATCAGGTGCTTTTATCTGCTTTGCTTATAACAGTTTCTTTGGAGTTTCATTCAAGCTGTTTAAAAAAGAAAAGCTCACAAGAGATCATTTTGGAGTGGGAAAGTATTGCTTTGTGATTTGCAATTACCTGTCTAGATTCAAAGGAAATACAGTGAAATTTGACTTATTGCAATTAATTCAATCTTTTTGGTCACTTACAATCCAGAGGTAGGACTGAGAGTTGAATCCTGCTCTTATCTGGGGTGTCCACTACAGACTTGGTTAATTATGCTCATAGTGAAATCACAGAAAGGAAAATCTGCTGTTTGTTTTTTCAGCCATGTAACTCAAAAGGCTACATAAATCTGAATGTGAAGCTTGGAGGCCTTGGACCTGACTATGAAGCAATCAAAGAGAAAGTAAGTGATCCTATGTGATCTGCTTTGCAGTTGTGAGCTGAGAAATGAAGTAAATGTGGACAGGGGAGAATGGCAGAGAACCTCTGAGAAGGAACTTAGAATCATAGACTCACAGAATGATTAAGGTTGAGAGGGACCTGAAAGATGATCCAGATCCAACCCCCTGCATGGGCAGGGACACCTCCCACCAGCCCAGGCTGCTCCAAGCCCCATCCAACCTGCCCTTCAACACTGCCAGGGATGGGGCAGCCACAGCTTCCCTGGGCAACCTGGGCCAGGCTCTCACCACCCTCACACTAAAAAATTTCCATTCCATGATTCTGTTATTAATGAAACATGTAATTTGAGACCTTAAAAGTAAGCACAGAGGTTTTAGAAGTCATTGCAAAAGCTGACAGGAATTAGCCCAGCCAATGTGGAACTGAACAGATACATCGAAGCATTCAGAATAAAGGTGCATCTGTCACATTTCTGTTGAGCTCTGTCCTCAATATGGTCCAATAAAAAGCTCTTAAGAATAAAGAGTGACTAAAAAAGCTGTGCTATTTATTAGGATTTCCTGTTCTGCTGAGGAATGATCAGTAGCATAGCCAGGCAAAACAAGAGAGGTGCAAATGCAACACTCCAGTGGCAAAAGTGTCAGATTGATGGATCCACTGAACATGGAATTAATCACACACTTTTTTCCTTGTCTCAGAAGGAGAAATTAAAACACCAAAAGGAATATGCCAAGCAAATCAAGGAGTACAATATGAAAAACATTGCTTCGGTTCCAAGGTCACCTGCAAAACCCCAGGTGACACCTTCAGCATCAAGACAGAAGGTAAGGATATGGTAAGAAGGTAAGAACACCCCAACTCTCCCAGCCTGGCTCTAGAGCAAGAGCTGCTCCAGCCCTTGGATCATCTCTGTGGCCTCCTCTGGACTCTCTCCAGGAGCTCCATGTCCTTCCTGTGTTGAGGGCTCCAGAACTGGACACAGTAAATAAGACTGGGGGGAAAAAATACAAATAAGTTTCTAAACTTAAGAAACTCATGCTGCTTTTTCTCTTCTAAAGACAAAACTTCAGAATTTAAGGGGGCCTCCAGTGGTGTCAGAAAGTAAATCTCCTTGAGGTGTTTTTTTGCCCACTGCAGACATTTTGTGCAGTTACCAATGAAGCATCTTGTATTAAACACTCCCAGAAACAAGGTCAGGAATTAGGAGAACTATTAATATGACTGAACAATAGAAACACCTCAGCTTTCTTGGAAATACTGGTCAGATTTTCCCTTGTTCAGTTACCCCAATCTTCATATCTTTAGGCTCTCGAATATGCTAAGAAGATTCCTAGACCAAAGAATTCCAAGGCAAGACAATCAGATGAAGAAGTGAAAGAGGAAAGAGTTCTGCCACAAACATTAAAAGGAGCCAGTTTGCTTCCAATGGCATCCTTGGAATCTTTGCAAAATAGACACAAGAAGGAGAAACAAATTGTAGCTGCTTTCAGTACCCTTCATGTTTTATAAGTATTTTGAAGTGATCAGGGATATCTTCAAGGAAAACAACTGAACTATTTAATTATGAGGTATGTTCATCACATATTGATTGACCATTTCACTGAAATATGAAGTGGCTTAAGTGTAATCATTGTTAAATTTTAGAATCAGTTCTATTGCACCTAATTTTTTTTAAATGCAAACAGTTCCATTTTAAATATTGTATCTCTGTTGTTCTTTTTCTTCCAAATCAACTGTTGCATCTTTTCAGACTCTTCATCCTGTTTGCTTGTCACAGCGGATTCAGTTTTAGACATGTCAAACATGTGGCTATATCTCCAAGACAGCAAAAATAAACATCACTTTTGACAGGCATGATCTTAATACCAGCAATGTTCCTCTTTTTGAAATGCAGAGACTTGGGCAAACTGTCCAGAAATAAAGCCAAAAGTGATCCACTACTTGTGAGAGAGAGAACAAAAAATGTGCACCCAACAGAGGAGCTGGTAATGACACAATAGTGATTATAAATGTTACTCTGTTAGTGAAGAGTTATCACATCAACACCAACATTTTGAAGCTTCATCTGAGACAAGAAAATTCAGAACAAGTGCTGGCTGATCATGCAGACAATCTGTTATTAGGCACAAGCAGTTGGAGAATATGTGGAGTAGCTAAGGATAATTGAGGGCTACATGTTTGAGAGGAAACAGCTTTTAACAGATGAAATATTTAAAAAAAAACCCTAACAACAAACAGATGGTTTTCTTACCATGGTTCAGTTTCTTTAACTTTGAAAATTAGGAAGTCAAACAGATGAAATGTGATTAGAACACACAGCAAGGGAATTTTGAGAAAAACACACTAAAATCTCCTAAAAATAGACTAGTTAAAAGGAAAAGAACCAAACAAACTGCAACCTGAAGATTATGTGGAATTGCTTTATCCAATTGATTAACTCCCCTTTAGAATGGGAGGAGAGAGAATTAGTCTTTGAGGGTGAGTCTCCTTGAAGGAATGCCAGGTTGGAAGGGACCTCAAGAATCATCTGGTCTGACCTATTATCCTCCATCCTCTTTGGCATCCAATCTGATCCAAGGAGGCTAACAGTGGAAAGGTAAGGGGGAGAGGGGTGTTAATTAAAGGGAGAATATATTGGAATTGGGTTTCTCTTTTTCAAGATTCACCTTTTGTTAAAGGTAGAGATAGAAACGTGCAAGACTTCACCTGTTTCTGGGTTAACTTTTCATTGGCTGGATGACAGGAAAGAATGCCCAGGGAAGCTGTGGCTGCCCCATCCCTGGCAGTGTTGAAGGGCAGGTTGGATGGGGCTTGGAGCAGCCTGGGCTGGTGGGAGGTGTCCCTGCCCATGCAGGGGGTGGGACTGGATGATCTTGAAGGTCCTTCCAACCCAAACCAGTCTGGGATTGTATATAAGAAGCATCTTCCAGTGTGGGTCAGGTTGTGTTGGAAACGTTTTGCCTATCAAAGCACATGTTCAAATGTCCACTGCAGCTTCTGGAACTGAACCACCCTCTGCTATCTCCTCACCTTTGGGAGCTGCATTTGCCTCTTTATGTAGAAGGCAGATGCCTGTGGTAGGATCCATCAAGCCAGGCTGGGTGAGTGTTTCCATGCTCTGCCAGTCGCTGCTTCCCTTTTATTTTGAAACCAAATGGTAACACTTTGAAGCATTTCTGATTAGGGAACCTCAACTTGGGGTTTTTTTCTGCTTAAAAGTGGTAATCCCCCCTTCATACAAATCTCAAGTACCTATTTTAATGAAACCTTCAGATGAATATCAAAGAGCTATTTACTTGTATCTAATATTTTAATTAGATTATATTCTCAATTTAACCCATTAAACCCCCTTTGATGATCTCCATGTTTAGTGTTTAGCCCCAGATGCTGGAGGTAATGAATATTGGACCTTTGATTTAATGAGAACTTCTGCCTTTCCAGCCTGACTCCCTTTGTATCCCCCTTTTTTTTATTTGCTGAGCTATAGAATTCAGTTAATTGAAGAAGTCTCTTACCACCACACATTAAGGAACCTAAATTAGCATCCCTTTTCTGATTAGAAAATGCAAGCAGACATGTTCTCTTTGATCTGAGGATTGAGTTGAAGTAGGCAACAGTCCCCTGAAAATGAGCTGATGGCCTTATTATTTGGCTGACATGCAGATGTGTCCATGTGGTGCAAAATGCTTAATGTCTTAATTGATCACCTTCCTCCCTGGCTCTCTTCCTGCTGCCTTTTAGATCTCCCAGAAATCTGGGTGATCTTTTGGGGTGTGTGGAGCGTTTCATCTATTTGTTTTTAAAAAAATAAAAGAATTTAAGGAAACATTGAAATACTAAACTAAATGCCACATAAACTCATAAAAAACTGCATCTGGGAGAGGGTGGCAGGGACAGAGATTTATTTTTTTACAAACCCTAATCATGATCATCTCAGAAAGCATTTGGAAAGGACTGGGTTCACTGGGGTTTTATTTTGTGGGCTGTTTTGGTTTTGTGGGGTTTTTTTCCTCCCAGAAAGACACATTATTTGCAGCATATGTGGAAAGAAAATCTTTTGATCTACCTTGATACTAATGCAAATTTTTTTCCTGCTGCCTCACAGATATGGTGGCACAAAAAGGGACCATCCAAGTAAATGATGAGCATCCATCAGCTTAAAAGCAAAGGCCAAAACTTAATGCCTTTCAAATTAGGAAGGCAAGGAATTTAAATGATGAGTAGGCCTTGAATTTTGCATTAAGTATTCAGGGAGAGCTGGGGCTGGAGTAGAACCTTCCAACCCCAGCACAGCTGTCACAGGGTGCAGGTACTCACCAGGAGCACATGCTGCCTTCACAGGGGCAGAAATGGTTGTGTGTAGACCACCCAACAGAACTTGTCACCATGTGCTTGGTGGGCCCTTTCCAGTGCCATCATTTCTTAACATTTTAGATTCAGGAAGTGTAGAAGCTGAGACTACCCTGAATGGTCAAAGAGCCAGGGTCAGTTGTACCTAGGAGCAATGCTGCTGTGATAACAGCACTGTCACATTTCTTCCAAAGAGAACTGAAGTCAGGTCTCATGAGACCTCACCTGGAGCCCTGTGTCCAGTTCTGGAGCCCCCAACATGAGAAGGACATGGAGCTCCTGGAGAGAGGCCAGAGGAGGCCACAAAGATGATCTTTGGGCTGGAGCAGCTCTGCTCTGGAGCCAGGCTGGGAGAGTTGGGGTGTTCAGCCTGGAGAAGAGAAGGCTCCAGGGAGACCTTAGAGCAGCTTCCAGTGCCTGAAGGGGCTCCAGGAAAGCTGGGGAGGGACTTGGGACAAGGGCAGGGAGGGAGAGGACAAGGGGGAAGGGATGAAAACTGGAAGAGGGAGATTGAGGTGAGACACGAGGAAGAACTTGTGGAGTGTGAGGGTGGTGAGAGCCTGGCCCAGGTTGCCCAGGGAAGCTGTGGCTGCCCCATCCCTGGCAGTGTTGAAGGGCAAGTTGGATGGGGCTTGGAGCAGCCTGGGCTGGTGGGAGGTGTCCCTGCCCATGCAGGGGGTTGGATCTAGAGGATCTTTAAGGTCCTTCCAACCCAAACCATTCCATGAGTCTATGAACCGTCTCACAGAAGGAATGGGCAGCTGGCTCAGAGGCTGCTAACTCTGACAAAAACATACTGGCTTTTCAATTAAATATGTTAAATAAGGCAGAGTCTAAAAGCCATGTTCCACAATTATCTCCAAAGACAAGCTGTCCAAGATGAGGACCATAAACCAGACAAGATTATGTCTAACTCCTGCAGTCACTGAATACTTCAAGTAAACATGAACAAGCTGCAATATCCAAACAGCCCACAAACCAAGCATGTATTTGATCATTACCACCTCAGTTCCAAAATAAATTATAATAGCACAAAGAATATGCCTTTTGTTTTCTTTTGCATGTTGCCCAAACATAAGCACTCTCTGCCTGAAAATAAGCAGGTGAGGAAAGGACCAACTCTGGTGGCTGCGTGGGTGGTGTGAGAAGGAGCTCTAGATGCACAGAATCAGAATGGAAGGTGAAGACTGAGTCTCCTCTGGTGACAGCTGGCAAAGGTGAGCTGAAGCAGCCTGCCTTGCAGAAGAGCTGCTTTGAGCAGAAGTGATGCTGAGCCAAAAACCTGGATAGAGCAGATGCTAAAGAAGCATCCAGCAGGTCAGCAAGAGCTTTGCATAATTGTGAGTGCAGAGCAGGCAACTGCAGGTGATGCCACAGGGCTGGGGGTCAGCAGCACCTCGGGGCTTGATCCAGCAGTCACAGCAAAGGCAATGAGAGAATTCTTAGTATTTCTTCTTAGGAAGAAATTCTTGCCTGTGAGGGTGGTGAGAGCCTGGCCCAGGTTGCCCAGGGAAGCTGTGGCTGCCCCATCCCTGGCAGTGTTGAAGGGCAGGTTGGATGGGGCTTGGAGCAACCTGGGCTACTGGGAGGTGTCCCTGCCCATGCAGGGGGGTTGGAATTGGATGATCTTGAAGGTCCCTTCCAACCCAAACCAGTCTGTGATTCACTAAACCAGAGAACACTGAGTCTTCACTTTAGGAAAGCAAATTGAGTGGTCCCAGCAGCAGCTGAACGAAGCGAGTCACAGAATTTGTTCAGCTTGTCTTTGCTCCTGGCATTTCAAAAACCTGTGTCAGAGTTACCTCATTATCATGAGTTAAAACCAGCTCATGCCTTGAAAGACTATCCATACCTTAAGACAAACAGGTAGAAAAGACACTGCAGTCCACAGTGAGATCATTCTTTCTTCTCTTAGACACAGACTTTCCATCTGCCGCTGCATGGACACTATGTCAGTAGCTGTAGGCACCTCAAGGCACTTCAGCAACAGAGCTGGAGGTGTTTCACCTAAGCTTATTATGCTATAGAAACAAGATAAATCCAAGGTAGAAATAAACCACTTTTTAAGCCTAATAAGACCACCCGAGCAGGAGTTTGTAGTTAATTAAGGTGATGCTGTTAGTTATTTGGTCTAGAAGAGAGGAAGAACAAAGTCATCCATTCAGGAGCCTGCAACACTCAGGACTTTGCAGGGCAGTGCTCAGCATCCTCTCCATGTTCTCCCACCTCTTCTCTGCTCCCCAGCACAGCCCACACCTGCAGAAGCTTCAGGAAACCAACGTGGGGGGGGGAATGTACTAAGTACATCAGCCAGCAGAGAAAAATCAATGAGAAGAAGTTGCAGAAAGAACTTTCCACATGATCCAGGTACGTGCAAGGCTTGGATCACTTGCCTACCACAGAAGGAAAAAAACTGGGCTGGAACTGTTTCCCAGCCTCATAACATTTGAAAACATTGAGGGCAGCAAACAAGAAAATGCTCAAAATCAAAACAGAAAGCAAAGGTTCACAGAAGGATTTTCTAGAGGGTTGGGGGTTTTTTGTCTGTTTTCTTTAATGAAAACAACCAAAAAAAGAAACATGAATCACTTTGGTGTTCAAATAAATTAACAGGAAAACAATTGAATTCCATTTCAAAAAAGCACACCAGAATTTCAGTGAAAATCAAAACTTCCGTGGATACATTGAAAAATAGGAAATACACCAAAATTAAATATTAAAAATAGTCAAAGGCAGGAGCTCTAAACCATCTGTCCCCTACTCCTCAAGCTTCTTGAAGAGAGCAGCAAAAGGAGAGCAGGAAAAAGTCAACAGCTCTCACTGAATAAGGCAGGACCCGGCAATAAAACCTGATTTAACTCATTCAAAGAGAAAACTCACTGAAAATCACAAACAAAATGCCTCCCCAGCCCTTCCTTCTTCCCAGCCCTCTCTCCACACACATGCTCCCAAAAGCTGTCCCACAAAAGCTGGTCTAGAAACCGCAGCCTCCCATCACCAGCCCGGCAGGGATTGTTTCCCAGCCTGGAAGGAGCTGCCTGGTGAGGGAGGGGATGGCTCAGGCAGCCACTTATTTCTTCCCTCTCTCTTCATCTCAGGGGGTTTTGTCCTTGTTTCACCAAAGCCCCTGGGATAAGCAGCCTGTTCCCAAAACCTCCCGTTCCCTGCAGTGTCCAGGCTTGGGCTGGGGACCCTCCCGGGGCTCAGCAATTCACGGGCTGCAGGTTGTTTGTCCCTGACGTTGCTGGGGATCATTGGCTTCGTTTTTAACCACGATTGTCATTTTAATTGCCAGCCAAGATGCCTGGAACCGCCGAGAGGCGAAGACAGGCGGGTGTTGGTGGCTTTATTTTCCCGCTCAGCACAACTGCTTTGCGAAGAAGAAAGTTCCTGCCGGGCAGGGGAGGGACAGCAGAGACTTGAGTGTTCATCGATTCATATGCTGACCCTTCCTCGTTGACCTGGCACGGCTGACGTGTGATCATGCTGGTGGCAGGGAGAGAAATGAGCTCTCCTTGCACCTCTGTGCACCCTCGCTGCCACAGGGGTCCTGGGGGACCGAGGTGAGGATCCCTGCGGGTTTCAGCTGCCCCCACCTCACTTGCTGTCACCTCCAGCACCGTCTGGGTGGTGGCACAGGGAAGGTGCTGTGCTTTTTCCTGGACATACACCCAGTGCCTGCACCTGAACCCCAGGATCCTTCCCTCCCTCAAGAACCACCACCAGAGCTAGAAACCACCAGCCCACGGGGGTGCAACCCCCCCCGGCCCTGCCCCTGCAGCAGGGAGGAGCACCAACCAGCTCCCGGGGTGCTTGGTGCAGTGGGACCCTTCTTGGTTGCACAGCATCCGATCACCAGCCCCCCCAGTCTGTGCTGGGAGGGCAGAGCCCGGCGGTGCCCACCGACTGACACCACCATCCCCTTGGCATCCACCAGATGCCTTGGAAAAGAGCAGTGTGAACACAGGAGAGAAGGGAGAAGTCGCTTTGGCACGTGCGTGCCCCCCAAAATTCTGTCACTTGTGCATCTTGAGCTGCTTTGACTTTCTCCTTTTTTGCTCTGTGTTCTTCCCAGCTCAGGGTGATTTCACCCACCTTTTCCTTCAGCAACGAGAGGGCAAACAATTCTTTGCACAAGCAAAAGGGATCACCCACGTAAAAAGAAGCAGGCTTTTCAATATCCCTTTTCAATATCCCTTTTCAATATCCCTTTTCATCCAGGTGCAACGTTTGTTTTTAAGGAGCACACCTTTATATTTGCTCCTGCTCGTCTCTCTCACTAAACTAAAGGGATTTCTCTTGCGTTTCTCTCAATTCTTTGCTGCCCAATCCTATTACCGCAGACAAGTCCACCTGAGCAACTGGTGGGAAGCCCAGTGTGATGCAGACAGAGCCTGTCCCCGGGAATGGCAGCAGTAAATGTGGTCAGGAAAGAAGAAAAACCAACACAAGATTCTCATATCAATATCACGGTAAAGCTTCGCTTTGATATCACTTTTAATAGTTCCTAACGAAATGTGCCCTCGGGGGGAGGCTGACAATCAGCAAGGAGCAAAACAACCAAATAGTTGGTGGGCGATAGGGATGCAGAGAAACAACAGCATCGAATGGGAAGGTTTAAGAGCCACTTGCCATCGCCCGCAGCCGGGAGGTGCTGGGAGAAGGGAAGAGCCGCAGAGCCGGGAGAAAAAGCCTTTCCAGGCAGCGACCCCAGCACTGCAAAAACGATCTGCGGGTGTTTCAAAGCACGTCAGGGCTTTAGGAGGAAATCCGGCGGGTTTACGTTCGAATTTCGAATTAAATTCGATTTTTTTCGGGAGGTGGGAGGCATTGCAGCAAGGATATTTCGGGGGAGAAATGGTTGCCCTGCAAGTGTTTCTAAACACCAGGTAAAAGACAACTAGTCGTTTTCTGGAGGGATGGTTGAGTATTTTTCCCCCCCCCACCTCCAATCTTTATTATTTTCCTTGTGCAAAACATAAAGGGGAAACCCACAAAAGCAAAACCACACACGTTTCAATCACCTATATTTTATATATCAATCAGGGAGACATTTTTACCCTTCACAAAACCTCTTGTCCCATCATCCAAAGACGCCCTGAACGCGGTAACAAACACGGGGCAACCCGATCAACTTCCCGTTTCAAAATCCGAGTTAAATAAGGGGGAAAAAAGAAAACAAACCCCAAGGAAATGAAATAACCCAACAGGACGTGGCACCGGTTGCAGGTGCGGCAGGAGCTGCAGGACCAACACCCGAGCAAGCGCAGCTTCTCCTCCGGGTTTCCTACCGAGGGAAACCCCCGCGGAAAATGAAAATACATTTTTTAAAAAAATTATTTAAAGTTCTTCATTTACCTGGCAATGAAACCCTGGCAGGAAGATACAAGGCAAAGCGAGCGCGGGGGGTGACCGAGGCACGGAGCGGTGGGGGAGAAGCGGGGAGAGGAGAGAAAGCAAAGGTGGGAGCAGCTCTAGGGCTCTTTGAGGGGAAAATAAAAGTATCCGGAAGGTGCTTCACACCTGGAAGCCGTGAGGGAATCGATCTGCCGCTGCAGGTGGTTCTCCAAGCTGGGGAAAGTCTCCCGGGATGGAGTTTCCGAGCAGCCCCGGCGGGATCGAGTGATTCGCGATGTTTCCCTCCCCCTTCCTCACATCGGAATTAAATAAACGGTTGTTTTGCTCTTACCTGTTGGTTTGGAGGGTGTTTCTACCATTAATAATTTTTATATTATTTTTAATGTGTCCTAGGAGCTGTGCCCGGGATCAACCCCGCAGCACGGGTGCGGTTTGCGGGGAGCCGAGCCCTGCCTGCCCCTCTCTGCGGGACAAGATGCGTTTATTTTAAACCCGAGGACATTTGGGGGGCAGAGGAGAAAAGTCCCGGCTTTCGAAGGGAAGGGGAAACTTCAAGGAAACTCGCCTGTTTGGTTTGGTTTTGTTCCTCCCCCGCCAGGCAAAGCTCAGGCTCGGGGTGATGCTGGGGGGGAAACCGGTGGTACCCCGAGTCCCCCGCTCCCCTCCGGAGCTCCTTTGCCGTCGGGGAAAGGACTCCCCCAGCATCAAATCCTCTTTCCCAAACTGGGAATCCCTCCCTTCTGGGCTCCGGCAAACGCTCAAGGCTGGAGGGATGGGGGCGATTTGCGGGGCCGGGACAAAAATCACCCTGGAGAGGCGGGTGAGCCCGGACCGGACCCCGCAGCAATTAGAGGTGGTGGGGGCCGGAGCACAGATCCCCCTCCTCCAGGATGTCCACCTCGTCCTCGGGGTCCTGGAGCAGGAAGGGGCCGGGGGGACCCTTGCGGGGCTCTGCGGTGACAGGCTCGGGCAGCTCGGGCTCGGGGGAGCTCTGCTCCCGGCTCTCCTCCCCCCCTGCCTGTTTGGGGTCGTCCTGGGTTTTCCGCAGCTGCTTTTTGTGCTTCATCCGTCGGTTCTGGAACCAGGTTTTGACCTGAGGAGAGCGAGGGGAAGGGGGGAAAATTAAATTTAAAATAAAAAAAGGGGGAAGAAAATAAAAAAAGGGGGAAGAAAATAAAATGTACAAGAGAAGGTGAGGATGCTGCGTGGGATGAAGAGTAGGGAGAAGTGTCCAGACCCCTTCCCGGTGGGATCCCCGCCCTACCTGGGTCTCGGAGAGGCTGAGGGCCGTGGCCAGTTCCACCCTCTCGGGCGTGGAAAGGTAGCGCTGGATCTCAAACCTCTTCTCCAAGCCGGAGAGCTGCGAGTCGGAGAAGACGGTGCGGGCTTTGCGGCGGCGACAGTGCTTCCCGGGCAGCTCGGCGTGAGCGTGGTGCGGGAACAGGGCTGGCACCGGCACCCCTGCGGGGACACGCGGGGGACACTCGGGCAGGGCACAGGGACTGGGGTCACCCCACGGCTCCTGCCCTCTGCGGGCCCCGGGTGGGCTGCGGCGGGTCGGGGGTGGGCTCTCCCCTGCCTCTCTTATCATTAGTAGTACTGTTAGTAACAGTGTTATTAATAATTATTTTAGCTTATTTCGTTGTTGAGATCGTTTTATTTGGTTGGTTTGAGGGGTGTTGTTGCTCGGAAAACACAGGGGGTTTGCAAAGACGCCCCAAGCAAGGCAAGGGCAGCCCGGGGAGAGGCTGGAGGCAGCAGCCCGGGCTGGGGGGGCTGGCAGGGAAACAAACACCCCCCTGGAAATTAAAGCACAACGAAATGGACGCGGAAAAAAACCCGAAGAGGGTCCTGGAAAAGGCAGGGAGGAGAGGAGAGCGGGCAGGAGGAGAGGAGAGCGGGCAGGAGGAGAGGAGAGCGGGCAGGAGGAGAAGAGAGCGGGCAGGAGCAGAGCAGAGCGGGCAGGAGGGGAGCAGGCAGGAGGGGAGCAGAGCGGGCAGGAGGGGAGCAGAGCGGGCAGGAGGGGAGCGGGCAGGAGGGGAGCGGTTCCGCTCGGTGCGCAACTTGGGCTGCCCCGTGGGAAACTTTGAAAGAAGGTGTTTTCCAGAGCAAGGAACGGGCTCGGGAAGGGCTGAGCGCGGGTCCCGGTTCGGGCAGAGCTCCGGGCTCCAGCCGGGCCGGGAAAACATCTGCCAGGCTCGGGAAGGGGAGCGGGAGGGGAAGGAGAAGCCAGGTCACCCTCTGGAGGAACAAGGCGAGGAGAAGGCAGTGATAGCCGTCCAAAAACGAAAATAAAAAGAGAGAGGGGAAACCTTCATGCTCGGGCAATCGAGTGAATGACAAGCTGCAGCTCGGTGGGTTTTTTCTCCCCCATCACGAAGCCGGAGCTGCGGCCGGAGGGGCTGGGGCAGGCGGGGCTGGGGGCTCCGGGACCTGCACCCAGAGCTGGGGTGAAGGATGCAGAAAAGTGCCCCGACACCCTACAGGGCCTTGTCTTTCACTTGTTGGAGCATGTCTGTGGGCTCCGGTCCCCACCCGTGTCCCCACCTGGAGGCCACAAACTCCGCAGGTCCCTCCTGCACTTACCCGAGGTGGTGAGGAAGTAGGGATGGTGATGATGATGGTCCGGCTTGTGCAGGGCAGGGTGCTGGTGAGGAGCCAGGAGGGTCGGGGCAGGCAGCAGGGGGTACCCATAGTCCAAAAGGGGGACGCGGGAGGCCAAGGAGCCGGGGAAGTGCTCGGGATGCACCTCCCGCAAGGGTTTGGGCTTGTGCAGCAGAATATCCTCGATGAAGAAGGAGGTGGGCCTGGGAGCCGAGACGGGGTGCACGGGAGAGGTGAAGTTGAGGTTCATTTCGGTTGTTCCCCAGCTCGGTGAGCGGGGAAGGGAGCGAGCAGGGGCTGCTGGAGGGAGAGGGGCGAGGGGCTGCACCTCCCGCGGCCGGAGACGGGGAATTCAAATTATATATATATATATATAATAATTAAAATAAAATTAAACAAAAATCTGGTGCAAAAATAAAAGATGGTGATGATAATAATTTTAAAAA